GGAGTTTTCCGCCCGAGGAATGTGCCTGATGTGGAAGGTATTGAAGAGGCGAGCAAGAGGGAGTGCCATGTCCCTGTAAGCTCGCATCGTGTCTTCCTTGGCGTCAAAATCCCCCGTCATCTGACCGACGACGAGCTGGGAGTAGCTGAATACTCGGAGGTGGCTGACCCCTATGTCCTTGGCAAGGTGGAGTCCTGCTATCAATGCCTCATACTCGGCTTCATTGTTGCTTGCTGCAAACAAGAAACGAAGGGCACATTTGAAGTAGCCGCCCTCAGGGGAGGTGAGGATGAGGCCGGCACCACTTCCTTCTCTTCGAGACGAACCGTCGACATTGAGAGTCCAAGAATGAGGATCTTCTGGCTCTGTTGGAGTTGGTGGGGGCGGAGGTGTAGTGGTCGGGGTCGGCTTGGTGAATTCTATGATGAAGTCAGCTACAGCCTGCCCCTTGATTGCTGTCCGAGAGCGGTAGGAGATGTCGAACTGGCTAAGTTCTACGGACCACTGCATCACTCTACCTGAGAGTTCTGGTTGCTGCATGACCTTTTTCAGGGGCTGGTCAGTGAGGACCACTATGGAGTGGGCTTGGAAGTATGGGCGAAGTCGTCTGGAGGCAATGACCAAGGCCAGGGACAGTTTTTCTAGCAAGGGGTAGTTCTGCTCCGCGCTCCTGAGAGCCCGACTGATGTAATAGACCGGCCGTTGGATTGAGCCATCTTCTCTGAGGAGAGCTGCACTGACTGCGGTTCCCGATACTGCTAAGTAGAAGAAGAGGGGTTCGCTCGTGATTGCTTGGGAGAGAAGTGGAGGGTTGGCCATGCATTGCTTTAACTGTTGGAAGGCCTCTTCGGATTCAGCTGTCCATTCAAAAGTCTGCCGAAGAACTTTGAAGAAGGGCAAGCACTTATCTGTTGCACGGGAAATGAAGCGGTTGAGGGCCGCCACTCGGCCGATGAGTCTTTGAACCTCTTTGACCGTCCTAGGCGACTGCATCTCAACCAAGGCCTTGATCTTCTCAGGGTTAGCTTCGATGTTGCGCTGACTGACCATAAAGCCCAAAAATTTGCCAAACCCTACGCCGAAGGCACACTTCTCTGGGTTGAGCTTCATCTGGTACTTGCGCAAGGTGGCGAAGGTCTCGCGTAAATCAGTGAGGTGATCGGAGGAGTATTTGCTTTTGACTAGCATGTCATCGACGTAGACTTCCATGTTCCGGCCTATTTGGTGATGGAAAACGGCATTAACCAGCCGTTGATAGGTGGCCCCAGCATTCTTCAACCTGAACGGCAGTGGTAGGTACCTCGGTCGGTAATAAATGATGTGTGCTCCCGATCAGATGTGTGCATCAGGATTTGGTTGTACCCAGAGAAGGCATCCATGAAGCTGAGCATTTGATGACCGGCCGTGGCGTCGACCAGCAGATCTATGCGGGGAAGGGGGTAGCTGTCTTTGGGACAAGCTTGGTTCAGGTCAGAGTAGTCGACACAGAGCCACTATTTGCCATTGTGTTTGCGGACGAGGACCACGTTGGACAACCACCTAGGGTAGTCCACATTTTTGATGAATTGGGCCTCGAGGAGCTTGTCAACTTCTGCGGCTATAAGAGTGTTGCGCTCCGGATAGAAAATGCGTTACTTCTGGCGGTGGGGTCGAAAGTGGGGTTCGATGCTGAGGTGGTGGGTTATGAAGGAGGGGTCGATGCCTGGCATGTCAGAATGGGTCCAGGCGAATACATCTCTGTGCTCGGTCAGGAGAGCAGTAAGGTCGGCCTTGGCTTAGGAAGGTAATTGGCTGCCAATTTTGGTAGTTTTGATTGGGTTGGTGGGATCAATGTTAACTTCAACAAGTCCCTCTACGGGTTCACCTCTGACCAGCTCGTCCTCGTCTCGGACGTCAAGCCCTTCGATGATCATGGCCTTTTTTAGCTTGACTTCTTTGAGTGAGGCGACATAACACTCCCTGGCCACGGTCTGTTCTCCTTTGACAGCTTCGATACCAAGATCGGTAGGAAATTTGATGGCAAGATGATATGTGGATGTGATGGCTTGGAAGGCGTTGAGGGCTGTGCGGCCAAGGATGATGTTGTAAGCAGAGGGGCAGTCGACCACAAGAAAGGTGAGCAACTTAGTGGTCTGCCGCGGGTGCTCGCCAATGGTGATAGGTAGATCGATGGAGCCGATGGAGGTCACACGGTCGCTGGTGAAGCCGACCAGAGGGTTTGGAGAGGAGACAAGCTTTCTTCCCCAATCTTGAGCTGGCGGAAGCAATTGAGGAAGATGATGTCTGAAGAGCTGCCGTTGTCTATGAGGACTCGTCTGACCTTGTTAGTTGGAAGAGGATGGCGGAAATGACAAGGGGTCATCATGTGGGTAACGGACTCCTGCACAGTCGGTGTCGGTGAAGGTGATGGGTTCGATCCATTATTTTGACTATTTGGGAGGTCGGTCCACCGTCGCCACTGCTTTGTCTGAGCCCTGCCTGATTTTTCTGAGCTCTGCCTTCTGAGCCGAGCGGGATGGTCCCCCGCAAGCAGGCCGCCTGAAATGACTCTGATTTCTCCGACTGGTGGAGGGGGATTACCTGGAGGCCGAGGCTGTGGTGGTGGGTGATCGTGGCCTTGGTTAGGTGGGGCTTGATTGCGGGTGGTGGTGTGTCGGCGATTGTTCCTGGGAAGGTCGGTTCTTTGCCTCTGTGGAGGGCGGGTGTCGTGAATTATAAAAGTTATACTATAATTCTGAAAAATGGCGAGCGCCTTGCGTATAAGTCTCGATCTGATCTTTGGGTTATACACTCGTCGGTGTATGGCCATGGTCTGGTGGAAACGCATATTGGACTGATTTTCGAGTGGAAGGTTTCGAAGGTAGGGGCCACTTGAGGGGTAGTCCCGCTGGATCTGATTGAGGACGTGCTCCATGGGGGAGTTGAGAGGTGTGTACCGCTCAAACCGACCGGGCGGTCGGGTCGGAGTCGACCGTCGGCTCGGGGGGTCGGTCATTATAGTGGGGTGTTTGGCTATTATACTGGGCGGTTCTGGGTTCGGAGTCTTTCCTCTTGTCTCTGGGGGTCGGATTTTTAGGGGTCGGCTCTTGTCGAGCGGCCAGGAAATCTTCAGCATTCATGTATTTTTTGCTTTGGATAGTAGGGCTGCCATGGTGGTTGGAGGGTTTTTGGAGAGGGAGAAAAGGAAATCGGACGACCGCAGGCCGGGCATGAAAACGGTGAGGATGACCTTGTCGTCATTCTCCGCTACTTGAAGGGCCTCGGTGTTTGAAACGGGTGACAAAGCTGCGGAGCGACTCCCCCTCGGTCTGACGAATGTTTAGGAGTTGGGTGGCTGGGCGTCTCTGACGCTGGGCTCCGATAAAATGGCTCAGGAAAAAGTCACTGAGGTGTTGAAAGGTGGAGACGGAGTCTACCGGTAACTGGCTAAACCACAACCGAGCTGATCCCTTTAGTGTCACTGGAAAAGCTCGGCACATGATCTCGTCAGGGAAAGCATGGAGGATCATGAGGGTGCGGTAGGTTTCCAGATGGTCGACTGGGTCTGTCGTGCCATCGAAGGAGTCAATGGTAGGCATTTTGAACTTGGCGGGCAATGGTTTGTCCAAATGGAGGCAACAAAAGGCGAGTTGGCGGTGACTGAGGGCTTTGTGCTGAATGTTCTGCATGACCCCTTGTAGTTGGAGTTTCATAGCTCGGAGTTCAGCGTCCCAAAGGGAATGTTGTCGCCATGGTCGGTCAATGGGGGCTGGACACTGCTGGCTTCCCCCTCAAGAGCTAGTGGCACGATTGGCGGGCGTGGAGGTGGAGGTGGAGGTGGTAGGCTCATATGTGGAGGAGGAGGGGGTTGTAAACCTTCTGGGTTGAGGGAGGGGGTTGTGGAGCAGTGTGGCCCGGGTCTTTCTTGGTTGAGTGGAATATCTGGAGGTGGAGCGGGGAGGTTTCTTTGGAGTAAAGCATTGATCAGGGCTTGGTTTTGCTCGGCCATGCGGTTAATACTGTTAGTAAGTTCGATGATGTACTGTGGTGGGTTGTTTGGATGGGAAGGGTCTGTTTGATGATCGGTGGTATTATGGTGGGAGGCCATGGACCTAGTCGTGACCATACACCTGGACGGGTGAGAGGAAAAAGGTAATGGTGAGAAAGGAGGGCTCCGGCGATAGTGAACACAACTAGCGCACGAATAAACCACAAGGTTCCCACAGACGGCGCCAACTGATAATGATGTCCGTCCCGGGTGGATGGGTCGGGCTGGTCCAAGCTCTTCAAGTTCTGGTTCAAGGTGAAGATTCCGCCAAATGACCTGCAAGCAAGTCCAAAGGGGAACGGGGCAGTCCCCCAGTGAACCCTCCAGCGAGAGAATCAGTAGAGGAAGAAGGAAAATGTCGAGAAAGAGAGAGAGATAAAAAGCTTAACCTTCCTCTTGTCTTTCTATTCTTGCTTTATATCCTTTGGTAATCATTTCACTATCCCTTGTGACGTGCCCCCTTCCGCCGAAAGCCTGTGCCGTAACTTACCTTGTTCAGGGTGAGGGGGCTCTGTTCTGACGGGGAGGTATTGTCGTAATAAATGTTGTGATGGGCTGTATTAATGGTGATGTGTTGTGGTAATAACTCCGCAGATCTTTATCTGCTGATGTGGCCTGTGTTTCACCTGCCATGTGCCCGAATACCATTGGCCCTCCATGTCTAGATGGCCTCCAGCTGTCCTGGGCTTTGCCAACCAGATTATGCTATTGGTCCCAAGTGATGGGTTTGGGGTGATTTGCTGTGAGGCGTATGCCTTGTGAGCCTATCCATGTCATTACTCAATTGTTTGAGGTCACAATTCAGAAGTTTCTCACCAAACACAATCATACCATGTCACAATTTGGATGTTGCTTACCCAACACAATTGTTTTTGGTCACAGTTCAGATGTTGCTCACCCAACACAATCATACGGTCACAATTCATCCAATTAAACCTCTAAACAAATACCAATCATTAATGTAAACAACAAATCATGGGAACCAATAAAGGCATATATCATAAGGCAAAAATATCGTAATATATCAAGGCAGTGATGCCAAAATGGACAGCCAACAAAGGCCTACTTGACATCAGAATTCAAGTGTAATTTTATTCACCAAATCAGAATAAGCACGTCTAGAGTCACTTAAGGAACAAAGAATTACTTCCACTTCTTGAACTTTCCATGCCCGTGCTTGCCATGCTTAAACTTCCCATGCTTTCCCTGCTTAAACTTTCCATGACTACCATGACCTCCATGACCACCATAACCTCCTTGACCACCATAACCATGTTCATAACCACCGTGTCCAACATGGTGACTACCATGCGCCAGGTGTTGGGCGCCATAAGCAGCTGCTGCAGCTGCCGCACCCCCAGCTATCAACCCCCCCATGCCAGGTCCATGCCCTGAAAAAAATAGGATGCCCAAGAACTTAGTACAGTAGCATCAATAAAAACCTAATTCAGTAAGAAACTTGTCCTCACAAAATTTTTTTTTTTTTTGATAAATAAAAAGCTCGCCCTCACATAATCAAGGTCATGACTAATGTAGAGGGCACCTTCCCACAGTGACAATTATTGGTCATTTGTAAACCTGCTCCTGTGTTTGCTTAGAATACACACTTTTTCAAGCACTTGGTAAATGTCCATCTTTTAACAACTAATAATATATAGGCAGAAATGTTTTCATGTGCTGAGCATATGATATATCTATTATTTAACACTATTAATCTTTTTCTCCTTGCACAGAAAATATATGTCAAATATAGGAAATTTGAACACACAATCATATTTAGAAATGAGTATTGAGTAACCATATATTTACGAGAGTTAAAGCATTATAGTGTTTGCACACTAATGACATGTTCATTGAAGGAAGGAGATTGCTAACCATGAAATGGTTGTCTTCCATACAACATAATATAATACAATTTGGAAACCATACCTCCGTGATGTGGAGCAGACGAACCGGGATAACCAGCTGGTGGGTATGCAGCAGGGGGATAACCAGCCTGTGGGTATGCACCAGGGGGATATCCTGCCGGTGGGTATGCACCAGGGGGATATCCTGCCGGTGGGTAGCCTTGTGGTGGATATCCACCATGTCCTTGTGGCGGATAGCCCTGTGGAGGGTATCCCCCAGGTGGATGGTGTTGTCCTGGAAGATATCCACCGGCACCATGAGCAAGATGTGAGAAAAGCCCTCTGTCACCATCATGATGTTCATCTTGGTTGTGTTTGTCCTTCCCCATTGTTTCTTCAACACAAGAACACTAATTCCTAAGAGACAGATAATCAAATCCAACAATGCAAGTATGATGTCAGACTTATCACAAGTAGAGCATATAACCAAAAAAATACTATGATGTTAAAATCCCATAAGCATTGATTGCAGTTATTCCATCAAACAATTTCAAGGTAATGAATACAATACCCATATACTATAATGGCTAGGAGTAGAAAAATTAGATCAAGACGCTACAATCCATCCAAGAAAGATGTTTGGGACAACAAATATTGTAGCTAATTAATTGGATCAAAGAAACATATTCAACCTAAGCTGATCAAACCAAATAACAAAATGACACTATATCTGCCTTCTTTCCAATAAAAACTTGTACAGAACACACAAAAATATGGGTCTGCATTGGTTAGAACTCAAAAGTTGAACCAAAAGAAACCTGCATTCTCAACTTTAGTGATAAACATAAACTAAGTAGTACAGACATGAGACACAACACAAACATGTAGACACAACAATTTTTAAAAAAAAATGTAAGACACAATACGCTTGGGGCACATGAAAAAATTATAGTTTTATAAAATTTATCTAACAAGGGAATGTCAAAGAAAATAAACGGGCTGAAAACTACAAAGAAAGAAAAAAGATAAGGGACCAAATGAAGCTTAATAACAAACATAAAGAATCATATTAGCAAAAAGAAGGGAGAAAAAAAATAACCATGTCTCCAGTTGGACAAATAAAAAAAATCTGCCAGCAAGGTGCATTACAAGCATATTCAAATCAATCAAACTAGGAAGGAGAAGTGCAGGTTCAGTGACAATGACATATAACATTTTTTGTGTAACAATTATATGTATTGCATATATACTTCTACAAATATACATACATCTTTGATGTTTCAGGTTCGAGTCGATGGGGGAGACGCTGGTCTGCGTGGTAATCTAACTCTTAACATACTAATCGCTATATTGAGGGGGAAAATGAAAAAGAAAAAAAGAAAAAAGAAAAAAAAGGCAAATCTGTTTGGCCAAAGAGAAGATAAAGAATAAGAAAATTTTACATAACATAATTGTATACTGAAAAAAAAAAAAAAAAGGCAAATCTGTTTGGCCAAAGAGAAAATGAAGAATAAGAAAATTTTACAATACATAATTGTATACTGGCCAATATTAAAAAAAAAACTCAGTGATCCATTTGGCTACAGTGAAAGTGCAAGATCAGAAACAATTGGAAGTTAGAGATCTGGAAAATCTTGTATTGTTTGTTAACTAAGACCTAACAATCTATCCCGGGGAGTTTACTCTCAAGTTTCTAGATTCAGCAACAAATTTTCTTTTCTTTTATTTTCCTTTCCACCACATTAACATTCTTAGCTACCAAACACACGTTAATTTTGTTGCCACAAAAGAAACTCGGAAATCAATCAATCAGACACAGCAGAGAAACAACCCTGGCAATGATCTCCTCTATGATCAAAATGCATACAAAATTTCGGAGTGAATATATATATACATATAATCAGTCATGGCCATTACAATTCAGAGAGAGAGAGAGAGAGAGAGAGAGAGTGAGTTTACCTTGAAAAACTAAAAACTGCTTTGCTTCGGAAGATATCAGAATGAATGAATGAATGGATATGTATGTGTATAGTCTTATTCTATTTCCAGGCGTCAGTTTAACGCGTATGCGACTCGTCCAACCATTTTAGGCGTGCCGACACGTGGAGGCTGATTTGTCGGTCAACTTTTAAAGGGAGAATTACAAAAGTAAAGTATACGAATACGAATATAGAGGGTGTAACTCTCACCGCATTTTATTTATATTCCATCGCAGATTTGTATTTTATATATTTTTATAATTTTTCCTTAAATTAATACATTGGGGATATATACGTATTCTTTTTGGTAATATATTTTGAGAGTTTTTTTTTTTTTTTGAATTTGAATTTGACTTCTTTCAAACCTTTGGACTTGTTAATCTATTTTGTGATTGATTTCAATGGTTCAACTATTCACTTTTTAAGATTAGTTAAGAAATATTTATATAAAAAATTAAGATGATTGGATATCGAATAACTATATATTTAAATTATATTTGTTTTTAAAAAATGAATGTCAAATCTAATTTCAAAAATAATTATTTATTTTTTATTATATAAATTTGATTAAAACACATAATTATCGATATTTGATTATATTAAATTTTTATATGAATATTCTATTTAACAAGTTTTAAAAAGTGAACGGTTTGTATTACCAAAATTAGTTAAAAATGGGTCTACTAAACCCAATCGTTTTCTTAAGTTGAGATGACAACTTAAGAGAAGACAAACCCTATTTTATTATGATAATGTGTCCAAAAATATTAAATTTAACTTCTTCTTTCTTTTTTTTTCTTTCTTTAAAAATGATGAAAAATTTTGGTCAACTTTGTCAACTAGTCTAACATAATCATCTGGTACTATTATATTCTATATTTCATAATATTAAAGCCCTCTCAAATAGAAAAAGAAAGAGAAGCGTAAACGTGTAAAGAAGAGGCAGTTAAGATAATTAACAAGAAAAAAGAATAATATATATATTTTTTATAATATTGTCACGAAATAATTAACAAATTTTATTATATTTACTTTAAAAAAATGATATATTTTTAAAAAAATAAATATTAGTCCAATATTACAACCTTTGGATCAAAATACTTTTCTTGATAAACGTGACGAGTAAGAAAGGCAACATCGAATTGTGAGAAATTTTTTTTTTTTGTTGTGAGGATGTTGCAAGGAAGGGGGTTGAGCAAGTGAATCAATAAGTTTATATAATATTAAATTGAATAAAATTGACTGTTATTTTATAATATATTGTGGGGCGTTTTGAAAACTTGCTAAAAAAATTAAGTTTTTGATTTTTAACTTTTTATATAAAAAAGTCACAAAAGTCAACTTTTTTAGTAAAAAAAAAAGCCACTAAAAAATCAAAAAAAACTAAATAAATAAATAAATTTTTTATCAATTTTTCAAAACACCACTGTATTATAAATGATGATTACGCTACATTAGTTAACAGTTATATATATATATTCAATGCAAATGCACAGAATTTAATTATTTTAACACACTAATATGTTAAAGTACCTACAATTATGCTAACCATATTTGGCAAAGAAACAAGGAAAAATTCTGTCACATATAATGGGCATAACAAATTATCTTCTCATAATAAATTGTGTATAAAAAAATTAATGAAATCTTTTTGAAAAGTAGTGGGAGTTGGGGCTAAATATTGTTAATCAGTGAGAATCCTCTCAGAATTACACCATAAGGGGAAAATTGCAAAAAAACAAAATTACAAATCCATAAAATTAAGATAAAACTACCCTTATCAGGGAGGGTGGGGGAGGAGAGTGGAGAGTGTCGGGTGGGTGTCGAACGAAGGGGAAGCGGTGGAGGTAGCAAGAGAGAGCAGGACATTGTGGGGATGGAGGCAAAGAGCAGAGGAAGAGTTGGGCATAAAGTTTGCATAAGAGACTGAGATAAATATATTTTGCCCTAATTCCATACTTCTGTTGAAAAAAACAAAAAAATATTCCACCTATAACGTAATTCTGAGAAAATTCCCATTCATTTGCAATACTTAACCCCAAAGTCAGATAATAACATCAAACTCTTAATGCAGCCCATGATACTGACGGAACAAGGTAACCAGCTGCTTTGTTTTTGGCACCAACAAATGATATAAAGAACAAATAAGTAAAATTTCATTTCCTTACAAATTCCAAACCTAGACATAGCATGAATAAATTACATAGAATTATTTAGAAAAATTGCTACACAATCTCACATTTCCTATTCACAAGACACAAACAAGCAATAGAACTAATCCCTTGCAGTTTCTCATTTTCCCTAATTTCTCGTAAACTAATGGTACACTGCATACAGACTACAACCCGTTCTTGTTTTTGCCTTGTAAGCTATAAGAAAAATAGCACCAAACTCTCAACAAATATTTTCAAAATAATAGAAGTTACAACTAGCCTCTATCTAAGCTGCACCAAATAGAGCGTCAAAGTTCTTAACGACAGAATGAAGACAGGAGATTCATGCAACCGAGATTGCAAAATTTAAATTGCCATGCCATGCAAAAACCCTTGCATTAATAGCACAAGACAACTAGATATGAAAAAGGAGACAGCAACAGAAAGCAACATAAATATTTTACACCCATCAAGACTACCTCAATAATCCATAACCTCATACATGCTATTTAGATTAAGCATTATTAAATATTTGCAAATAACAAAACAAAGGGATGACAGGACCTCTACTGACAGAGGGTTTCGAATCAGCAAAACCTCAAAGCAGCTTGTAGCTCCTTCTCGTCAGCACAACTATATCCCAGCAGATAAGCCCGTGCTGCAACGTATGCACATATAGAGGATGAACAAAGAGTTTTGGGACTCAATAAGTATATTGCAGAGGCAAACAAAAAGAGATTACCGAAACGGCCAGACCCCATGAATGGCTCTGCTTCTTCTGAAACACCACATTGCTGCTGTTCCTACATTGTCAGCAAAGAGAAAAGGATTTGAGTGTCAAATCCAAAGACGAAACACAAGCCACTTCTTTTTAAAAAAACAATCAAATGGGTGGGACTTGGTTGAACACAATAAAAAAATACAGTCCCCGCTGTGATGCTCAAAAGAATCAAAACAACCAAAATAAATCTTTGGCATTCAATTTCCCTTGTAATTATTCAGATGTGCTTGTATATAGCCTCTCGGAATCTTATAGTTTTGTTCCCTGTATATCAAGCGTACTTACTGTGATGGAACACATGATGCACTCAAACCTCGTGACTATAAAATGACTATGGACAAGACTGAACGATAGCAGTTTTGCAGCCTGCACTGTTTTAGAAATTGTGATACTGATATTATAGTTCATGGACTGTTATGATGCACAATGAAAGTCAGGAAACCTATGAAATTAAAAACAGAAGTGTGTTATATGACAAAGGAAACCAAGTACAAGTTAAAGAAGATCTCTCTTACAGTGTCCGGTTCCATTTCAGATGGTGACAGTAACAGATCAAAGCAGTGCCCAGATATTGTACAAACCAAAAGCTCATTTGTAGGGTCCAAAACAGCTTCTCTGCATGTATCATCACAAACTGCATGAACAAAGAATATAAACCAATAAGCTTCAATCAAGTTATGTATAAAAATCTATGCAATTGTACCAAATTAACAAACAAGCAAGGTTGCTATGTTCAATAACCACAACTAGTGATTCATACCATGGACCTGTCCGGTCTTCTCACAAACGAATACATCTCCAATTTGATAATAAGAACATGTGTCTCCAGAGCAATCATGATTGGGGACCACCTTATCAGTTAGGCCTCTGCTGCTTTTCCATATAGATACTTGATCAGCAACAGTCTTGTCAAGAATAATCCGGTCATCATTCACCTTCAAATACACAAGAAAAATAAATAAATGATAAATGAAGGAAATGCCTTTGTCTAATTGTTATGAGCCTCATTTAAAGAAGTCATCCTGCTATGCATGGTGCATATACACTGTAGAGTGTCACACGCAATAAAAACAAAACAAAAAGAAGAAGATAAAAGCAGTCTTTTCAAAATGCGGCCTAGTAAGTGACAATTCTGAGCCAAACAACATGTCCGAGAAAATTATGACAAAAAAAGTTAAACCTCCAATAAACTTCTAACAGCATTCTTCATCCGAGAGAGAGAGAGAGAGAGAGAGACTTGTTCAAGAGGGGGATAAATCAAACATACCACTAACAGATTATTGTCAAGAAGTCTGCTATAAAAAAATCGCATATCGTCCCATAGATTTGTATGAAATGTACAGAAAAGAAATGAAAGACAGTGATTCCCCATCGCCCCCATAAAAACACATAAAAGGCAAAAGTTTCATCTCAACAGCTACCCCTGTTTACCTGAGAAGGGAGAGGTGCTTGGCTTCGCTTTGCTGCCTGCATTTGGATGTAATACTCTTTGAACTCAGAGGGGCAATACCTAACAAATTCAACCATGTCCTCTCCATCCCGCTGCAAGAAGAAAGTATTTCTCGTAAACTAAAAGTTTCTTAATCTAGCTTTAACAATGAGCATCCAATGGGTTAATCTAGTTAAAAGAAGTTCAGGTCAGACTTGGAATATCAGAGAAGAGACACAGTACACGAAACTCTAAGTAGCCAAAGGGACAAGTTTCTATAAATAAGAAGAAGGGCCCAAGTTATGAAACATCAGTGTCTAACATGATTTTGATACGCTCAACAACAACAATATTTAAGTAGAACCAAAATATACCTGAATGTAAAGCTTTTTCCAAGCACACTCTCGCAACTTTTTTGTAGGGGGCAGCAAACCCCATCGCATACAGTACCTATCAAAAAAATTACCAATGCATTATCAAATACATATCTGTTTTACACATACTGACAGATTTATATGTGCACCAATCAACTCAAACATTAAAACAAAATATTTGGCTGCCATGATAGAAAAACCTAAAAGAAATGTGAAGGCTTTGTATGCATCCTGATGTATTACTGAGTTTTGACAATGGCACAGTGAAGTTAATAGGAGAGATTAGATCACCAACTGCAATATTCCTCAGTGAAAATGTATGCTTTACGAACTAGGGGATATTATCTAACAACCATAAGCATTACATGCAAGCACAATACAGATGCAAGTCAAATGAGCAGAACCAACATTTGAGAATCCAATAAGATATACTAAGACATTTAAGATAACCGCTAAAACCAAATACTACAAGAAAATAAACACCACACTGATTTAAAAATACTTCTAAAGATATTGCATCATGTAGGAAGAAGATACAAGTTTCTGACATAGCTGTTAGCATTTAACAAGGCAAATATAGCATGGGATGCTCTTCATGTAGGAAGAAGATACCTAAAGAGTTTAAAAGCTTGAGCCTCAACAATACATATATTGTATCACATCATGTATATAATTAGGAACTCAATTGAGTGATATTCCAGCAACAGGCATGCACACGCACATTTTGTGTGTTAACTACAAAAATCTTTTAAAGACCATGTCTCTCAATTCTTACAGCCACGAGTAGATAGTTTCCATTCAAAAAAGTAGAAAACTAATAGAATGTGTAATTATATCCCCAACCAAATGCATAATTTCACATGCATCCTTTATGTATTCTCTAGTCTAGACTCTAGTTCAAACTGTAGAGAGACATCACAAAAAGCTGGACATTTACCACAAATGATTGAAATAAGCCAAGTTTGATGGAAATCAACAAGGTAGTTGGAGGTATCATTTGACAAAGAAAAAATAAACATTTTTTTAAAAGCAAACTTTCCCTTCTGAACTTTCGAATTATGATGAATAAGCATTTATAAAAATTGATTTGATTCATGGCCATTAGTAATTTTTTGGAGAAAAAGAGAACACTGTGACAGGAAAAAGCTTTTTATGCACATTATTGAATAAAGCAACCAATAAATACGAAAATGTTTTTCTTCTTAAACTTGAAAGAATGAAACAAACATACATGTAGGAATTCAATAAAAACTCAAAACCAACAAAAACATATATAAAAGATGATAAAGAAAAACTAATCACTCACAAGCGACGCCACAAAGACTCATCTGAAGCTGCAAAATTGAGAAATCTACAAACCAGAGCGCATGAAACAAGATCCTGCATACATTGCCATCATACAGAATAACTCAGATCATAAAACCCCCAAATCTCTGGGGGAAAAAAACAATATTTTTGCCCTAATATACAGAAAAAAAATAAAAATAAAATTGGCCCAATAATATACATACAGACTCGTACCTCAGAAGAGAGGAATTTGAGGATGTGATGAAAGAGTTCAGAAGGGATCTTGCTGAAGAACCCAGTCTCCATCCTCCTCGGCGTCGCTCTGATGCTGAATCTATCGCTACTACCACAATTATCACTCTCTAATATTCTACTCTTCGAAGGAGATGGAGCTTGAAATTGCACAATCGATTTCGCTTCGCCTTCATCGTCCCCCACACGCAACCTCTTCGATTGTCTCTCCTCTTCAATTTTCGCCTCTTCCTGCAACCAAATCCCAACAATTGACCTAATCTATACATACATATGACTCGATTGAAGGATTATAGAAGAAATTGAACCTGATCTGATACCTCGGAGAGGACTTCGGATTCGAGGAAATGAGCGAGGGTTTCGTCTTCGTCGTCAGAGACTGTCATTGTGACCCTATCAAGGTCTCTGATTTGAGACAGAAGGTTGGGAAATCGAGATGGAGATCGGGATCGGGATTTCGAAATCGCCGCCGGCGATCGGAAGTTTGCGACGGCTGGTCTAAGCCTTTTATATGATCGAGAATCGAAGCGAAGCGAAGCAGGGAATATGGGTTGCGTCTTTCGGGTCGGGTGGGTCCACTCTTTGTCCGATTCTCAAGAAAAAAAATTTGGGAAATTTCTTGCTCAAATTTACATGGGCCAGTTGGGCTATCTCAATAAAGTTTGGGTTAAGCTTGAACTTGTTGAAGTCCGACTCGGCTAGGGGTATTTTCGGAAGTGAATTTTTTTGTTTTTGTTTTTATTTTTGTTTTTTTTTAGACTTATTTTCTTTTTTAATGATTTTTCATAAATTTTTTTTAAAAAAGTTTAGGCTTCTAAATTTAGTTAAAATTATAATTTTTTTAAAAAATAAAAAAAATTCAGAAAAGATAAAAATAAATAAAAATGAGTAATTTTTTTTTTACTTAGGTCTCGTTTGGGAACAAGCTTTTTAAATTTTTAACTAAAATATGATGTAAAAAAATTAGTATATTTGGAATGACTTTTTGATTTTTTTACGAAAAAATGTACAAAAGTAGAGAAGAGAGAAAAATAGAATCTTTGATTTTTTTATATAAGTTGTTGACTTTTGATTTTTTAGTGACTTTTTGACTTTCAAGCTAAAAAGTGATGTTACCAAATGAGACTTTATTTTCGTATTTAGTATTTTTTTTTCTAAAATTTTTCAAAAAAATGTACTTTTTAGATTCGTCTCGATAAGACGAACCAAAAAACTAAAAAATTTTGATATAATTTTTTAAAAGAATCACTAAAGATTAAAAAAAATTCAAAAAAATATGTTTTTTTTTTTTGGTTAACATAGTGAAAAATAATAAAATAAAAAACTCAAATTAAGCTTAATCTCGACTCGTTAGACTTTGCTTGTGGGCCTGGAGAAAAATGTTTGTTAAGCGTAATTCACGAGCAAATTTGGCCCCGTTTGGTGTAGCTGTTAAAACAACTTATACATTATAGCTTAACAGATTATAGATTATGACTTTAATCAGAAATTGTTAATCTGTTTGGTGTAACTATTAGATTATAGATTTAAGTTGCGGAATAGTGTTTGTTCAATAAGCTGTGAAATAGCCTTTTCAATTAATTTTTATTTTTTGTTTGTCTATATTTCATATAAAAAAAATAATAATAATCTATAGTTCATTTGGGTCTTTTTCTATTTTTAAAAAAATAAAAAATAAAAAAATCTAAGAATATAACCATAAATTAATATGTCCACATCAGAAACTGATAATCAGAAGCAAGGGGTGAGCAGTTTCTCAGAATCAATTTTTTTGAGTTAAAATAAGCTGTTAGAATCAGAAGCTGTTTGAAATAAGTCTAACCAAACAGTCAAAAATAATTTTTTCAAAGCTAAAAGCCAAAAGTTAGCTTTGAAAAGCTGAAACAAACACCTTTGGACACTAATTTTGCGGATTGTTGCACCGCCCGCCTTATTGCGGATGTGATCATCATGCTCGTCATGGATCGGGGATTATTGGTCTATTATCATCAATACATATTTTAATTTTTTTTTTTAAATTAGGAAATTTTTTTAACTCATATTTAAAATTATGTAAAAGCGTGATTTTGTAAAACATGTTTATTAAATAAGTTTTAAATTTCTTGTGTTTGTTCAAGTGTATAGAAAGCACGATTGCTAACAACACTATATTGTTTATGATCACACTTAAAATATAAAATAAAATGACAAAATTTGAGTGTGATAAGAGCATCTCTAATGACAAGCTATTTGAGCTGTTATTGTCAAAATTTGACAAGAGTTTTCAAAAATGTTGCTTCAATGGGCTATTATAACTTCGGCCAAATTTGGCAAATGCCATTTCATCTCTCAAATTTGGTTGCCAAACTTGCCACATCATCCAAATAAACAGAATTTGGCTCTAAAATTTTCACGAAAGAAATAAACACAGTGGAACGATAATATACCAGAGATGGAACAATAATAAATTAAAAAAACACAGAATCACCAAATTTTCAATTTTCCAAATTTCAGTTTCATCAATTTGAAGCAAACAAAATTTTTTAAAAAAAATTAGAAAATGAACACACTGAAGTAAAAAAAAATACCTGATAGTGAGAGAGAGAAGAGAGATAGATGATCTTCTTTGTGTTCTTGATATAGATGATACAATGAGAGAAACAGAGGGATAAGGGTAAACGACAGTGAGAGGGAGAAGGAGAGAGAGGGGGATAGATTTGGGAATGGGTTGGTAAGATTTGAAGACATGGATGATCGATTCAGAGGGAACTGGTGATGGACGTGAGAGAAAATGATCGATCAGTTGGAAAGAAAAGAGATATATAGAGAGAGAAGAGTGAGATAAAGACAGTGGTAGGGGGTAGAGAGAGACGGAGAGCAAAGAGAGGCGGAGGTGATGGACGGAGAAGAGAGAAACAGAGAGCAGAGAGAGAGACTTTCCATGATAGAGGGGAAGAGATGATATTTGAGAGAGAGAGAGAGAGAGAGAGAGAGAGAGAGAGACGGAGACTGAGAGGGAGGAGGTGATGATGAAACCAAATAGAGAGAAACGAAGAGAGAGAGAGAGAGAAGAGACACGTGGACGGTGGTGATGAAACCAAATAGAGTCGTTGTGCTGTGTTTGGCTAAAAAGAAAAAGAAAAACAAAAATAACAACAAACAGGTGGACGGTGGTGATGAAACCAAATAGAGCCGTTGTGCTCCGTTTGGCAAAACAAAAAAACAAAAAAAACAAACAAACACCAATTTGTGTCAAAAATAAATAAGTAGTGATATGTTTTTTGGTGGGGTGAATTATATATATATATATATTTTTTTTTTTCCAATTTTTCAATTTTTTTTATTTTTTATATTTGTCTAGGCGAGAATAATATAAATATATAATGTTTTTTACAAACAGGTAAAAAAAATCACAAAAGACAAAAAATAAACAAAAGTAAAATCACAAAAAAAACTATATCCAAACAACATCTACAAACTTAGAGAGAAAGTTGGTTGAGATTTGCTAAAATAGCAAATGACTATTGGAGCACCATTGCTATAATTTGGCAATTTCTGCAGCTATATACCTCTTATTTTCAAGCTTTTCAGAAATCACAAGTCTCACAGTATTTTTTAACTTTTGAAGTCACAAGCCTCACAGTTCCAAGTTTCACAAGCTCAACAGTTATCCACTTTGCCTATAAAAGAAACTTCTCAGTCAAGACCAAGGCAGTTTGCATTTTTCTCTCAGTCTCTGTAAAATTTTTAGTTTGTATTAAAATTCAGTTTTCAAATATGCAAGTGGAAGCTGTATTTTCCAGTTACTTCCAGTGAACAATTCTGTATTTTTCAGTAACCAACTGTAAGTTAATATTGTGAGCTTAATTTTCTTATATGTTCTTATTTAAAATATTTTATTTAGTTTATTTATTAACTTGTTTGTTTTAATTTATGCTTATTAGTTTATTAAATTTATGTGTTGCTTCCGTCTCTTTGGTATCAGAGCCAAGTTGCTAGTATGTTGAGTTTCTTATTGAATTATCTTTTCTGTTTATACTCTTCTCATTTCCACTCTATTTAAATTAACTCCAGTCTCCCTATTCTTGTTTAACTTATCGTTGTATTCCACTTTGTCAGTAGCCACCCACCTTTTGTCCCAATCTAGTGTAAGTCCTTAGGTTTAGGTAGTCGAAGGATATAGGGGTTCCCGAAAAGGGTATGAGCGAACACACTGTACGTGAAAAAATGATAAGTTACAAAACGAGTTTTAGAAATTGGATTTTATTTTATAGAATTAAAATGAGTCGATTATTCAGAAGTAACTCTTCAGTTAGCTCTAGATCTACAATTCTAGCTCCTATTCCTAGTACGGATATACTAATTAATGAAGAAGAACATGAATATTAAGATGTTAAAATTGATTTAAGCTGTAATATTCCTAAAGTTTACCTTTAATGTTGATTTGCAAGTCAAAACAGTTGAACAAGTTTATGCTTTAAGTAAACCACGAGAAACTTGCCAATTATTATCTAAACAGTCAATCAGAAAACATCTCAAAGTTGGTCATAATTTTAACCATTTAGGATTAATCCAAGTAAAAATAAACCCATTAACCCAACACGGTAAAAATACTTCTGTCCTTTTATGTTTAAGAGATGCTCGTTTTATTAACTATCATGCTAGTGTAATGGGAATGATGGAATCTGGTCTTCATAAAGGTCTAGTACATTTTAATTGTTTTCCTGATTTTACTTCGAGATCCCCATATATTAAAGGCTTTAACATTAAATATACAATTTTCTGGTGAATATACCAATATGTTAGAAAATGTTCATAATATTGCATTAATTTATCAAATTTATTACAAATGCATAAAAACTAATTTAAATACTCAAGCTTTAACTAAAAGTCCCAAAGATAAAACCTTATTAATCCAAGGTAGCACTAATGAAACTAATATTTCTGTTCCAAATATGATTTGTTGGAAAGATATTAATCTTCCTGATGATTGGGTTAATGTTAATGAAAATTATTCCCAAAATCAACAATCTTCTACTAGTCATGATATTCAAAATATTCAACAATTTAATGACAGATTTGTCCATATCTGATTTAATAGACCTAATAGTCAATCCTCTCGTCATAGTACTTCTAGTTTACTTACTGAAACTGATGAAGATGAGATCTTCATTACTCCTCTGTTTACTAGAAGGGATAGGAAACTACACCTTTGTGAACTCTCCTCACAAACCCAACATGCACATAGTAAATTAAAAGGAATTGATAATTCTTTTACTTCCCAAATTAGTAAACCAATTTACTCTACTCACACACACCTTCAAGAAGAAGATACTGTATCTCAAAATTCACCTACTCAAACTGATTTTGAAGTAGTTCCTCCTGTCAACCCACAATTATTAACAAAAAGTAAACCTTTTACTCCAGACCTTAATAAACTTCATGCTGAACTCACCTCTATTGCAAATAAGTCAAAAAGACGTACATATAGGAATACTTATGATATAAAACAACAATCTAAAATTACTAGAAAATGGTATAAATTTATGACAAAAATCAATACTAAAATTAATTTCTTTAATTATTTAGAAAATTATTATCAAAAAGTAAATGTTATTACAAAAACT